AAGGTACCTTGTATTGAATCTACCCAGATCTAGATATAACCCTGCCTCATCAATTCTAGATTTAGTATTTATTAGGCCTAGCTTTTAGAACAAATGTTACATCTATATCTATTAACTTAGACATTAGATCTGTCCCAGTGCAATGCCTAGTTTAATAGCTAGTATAGGTCTAAGTATGCCTATAATATAGGCTACGATTTGTATGATGATGGACCAAGGGTCTAGAAATAAAGTTATAACTGCAATTAGACCTAAAGTCTAGTACATTAGTTGGTGTAAGTCATGATTTACAATCAGCCAATACAATTAAAAACCACTACATTAGACCTATAATGTTTACTAGATCTAGATCTAGGCGTTGCCTGTTGCATATATTGTCAATCTTGCACACCAGTTAATATGTTACATCAATCTCATATTTTCTTTTTGTTGAACATACACTTACTTGTACTTTGTACTCTAGGACTTGTATTTGATCTGCAGAAGAATGATGGAATAGTGTAATTTACTTCTGTACGTCAATTCGGTCTCATTGTATTTCAGTGGGTGGCTTTTAAAAGTTAAAACTGCAAGCGTAATACACACAAATAACATAACACTGTGTCGTATTTAATTAATATAGGGCAGTTGCACTATATCCTAGGGGAAGGCATAATTATTAATTAATAGGCATTTTAGGCCAGAGGAAATTTTGTGCCCTTTCAGATGTGTGCCTGGGGGTGACTGCCCCCCCCCCCCCACTCTTGCTACGCCATTGTATACAGGACAAATATGTTTTCACTATAGACTTGAAATATAAGGAAAAAAGTTTTAGCCACAAATTATTTTTGCTTTTTAGAAGATGACATTAAATATGTTGTTTTGAAATAAAATATTTTTTACATTAGGGTAATGCTGATATTTGCATTTGTATGTACATAGTTCAACTGTTGCATAAGATTTATAAAACCTAAGAATCTATGACATTTTTTTGTGTTGGACTCTGTTTTGGACTTTGTGCAGTTCATACTGACGTTTTTATGTTTATAGGTGTGTTTTATTTTTTCACTAGAGAAGTTGTAATCATTGTAATAATTATTTTTGTCAACAGAATTTCTCAAGTTAATTTGTTAATGGTGTTTTTGTGTTTCAGCAATGGAAGAACTGGATGGAGATGAAGTGAGGATCAGTTCACATGGACATTTTGCTGAAAGAGATATTGTACAGGTGAGAGTTTGGTTTTATTTATGATTGTAGTCTGAGGAAAGCTTAACATGAAGTTCACAATCAGGAATGTTTTTAGGTTTTCATATATGGGTATTTCTAAAAGTTACCTTTCGTTTTCAGTAAATATTAACTTCTGCATATAATATAATAGCATTTCAAAATTTGTTCAACATGGTGCTATAATTGGACAGATGAAGTTGCATCTGCTACTCATCACATTTTACTGCAATTATTTAGTTATTGAACGAAATATAGTAAGAAAAATGTTTTCTTACCTGTATGGCTATTACAGCTATGCCACATTTTGTAATAGCCACAGTATTATTATTTAATCAAAATGCAAGTAATTAGTAATAGTCTCTGCTGAAGGTTATTGGAGTAACAGTATATATATATAATGTTCTCTGCTGAAGATTATTAGAGTAACAATATATATATATAATGTTCTCTGCTGAAGGCTATTGGAGTAACAGTATATATATATAATGTTCT